TAAGTAATTTTTATGGTTCTGGGATTATTTACATGAACAAAATGCATTTTCTTATATGGAATCACCATCTTATGGGATTTTGATGCTCTTTTGTAGGTCACCCTTTTTGCCATTCATTGTGCTGGATGCTTCTATTATCTTATAGCTGCACGTTATCGCGACCCTGCAAAAACGTGGATAGGAGTAAAAATCCTAGAACAAAGCCTGTGGATTCGGTATGTGACTTCAGTTTATTGGTCGATCACAACGCTAACAACAGTTGGATATGGAGATCTGCATCCAGTCAATACAAGGGAGATGATCTTTGACATATTCTACATGTTATTCAACCTGGGATTGACATCGTACTTAATTGGAAATATGACCAACTTGGTTGTCCACGGGACCAGTCGAACTAGAAAATTTGTGAGTAAATATTCACTTATTGGATTTTGTTCAATAAAATTCATTATATGTTAGAATATTAATTTGTGTTGCTTCTGTTTACCAGAGGGATACCATACAAGCTGCTTCCAGTTTTGCGCAGAGGAACCAACTGCCTGTACGCCTGCAGGATCAGATGGTTGCACACTTGTGTCTGAAGTTCAGAACAGACTCGGAAGGACTGCAGCAACAAGAGACCCTTGATTCCCTTCCTAAAGCCATCCGCTCGAGTATTTCACATTATCTGTTTTACTCTCTTGTAGATAAGGTGTACTTGTTTCATGGGGTTTCAAATGACTTGCTTTTTCAGTTGGTAAGTTCAAACCCAATCTCAAAGTTTTCAATTAAATGCTTCTCTCTAGTGAACTTGTCTGAACTTTTCAAAGTATCTTGTGTGGATGTTTGGTTTAAATTCTTACTCTTCTTCTGAATTCAAAGGTCTCGGAGATGAAAGCCGAGTATTTTCCTCCCAAAGAAGATGTAATCTTGCAAAACGAAGCACCCACAGATTTCTACATACTTGTCACTGGTGCTGTGGTAACAATTTCATCTTTCTTTCTCATTAAATTTCAAAGACATTATAAATTTCCTATTCTCTTTATTCGAGTTTCTTTTCTGAACAATCGAATCTAATGTTTGAATTACGTTACAGGATTTAGTGGTTCTCAAAAATGGAGCTGAACAGGCAAGTCTAACACTTGAATAGAAAGGATATCTTTTGCATTTGGTAGTTGCTTTGACCTTGGTTTGATGTGACAAATAAAATTTTGAGTAACGTTACTTTTACTAATTGCAGGTCATTGGTGAGGCAAAATCTGGTGATCTTATTGGTGAGATTGGTGTACTTTGTTACAGACCACAGCTCTTTACAGTTAGGACCAAAAGATTGACTCAGCTTCTGCGGCTGAATCGTACTACATTCTTAAACATAGTTCAAGCTACTGTTGGAGATGGGACTGTGATTATGAATAATCTCCTTCAGGTGAGATTATTTGATATAACCTTGCGACGTCTGATCCATAAGTTAAAGAAACTCATTTGTTTCTACTCGGAATTTATTTGGATGATGATTTTTAACCTGTTGCACTCTACATTGGTGTTTCTTTCTTGGTGGGTTGCAGCATTTGAAAGACCTCAAGGACCCAATCATGGAGGGAGTTTTGTTGGAGACAGAGACCATGCTGGCTCGGGGTAGAATGGACCTGCCTCTCAGTCTATGCTTTGCATGCAATCAGAGGAGACGACTTGTTGTTGAATCAGTTGTTGAAACGGGGTCTGGATCCAAATGAATCGGATAATAATGGGAGGTCTGCTCTGGTATGCAAAGTCCTCTGCTCTTGATTTTACCCTTTTTCTAGTTCATCAAACTCTGAATACTTACACACATTTTTTGTTTCCTCTTTGTTCTGTGAAAAACCAGCACATAGCATCATTGAAAGGAAGCGAGAACTGCGTGCTTCTTCTGCTAGACGATGGGGCAGATCCTAACAGCAGAGGTACTATCCAATCCTTTAACAAATCATTAAGTTAAACCACCATTAAACATATAACTGTTGACAAGGAGTTGACATTAAGAGTAATCGTGTTTGAATTATAATAAATATCCTCCTAGTAGAGCCATCCTATTCCTAATGCAAGAAAGTCCGTTCAATTATTTCGCTAAGATTTATTGTCAAACATACTTTATCGTAGGCTCCATAGGCGATTAGGATAAATCACTTATACATAGAGTTAAGATCAAATTAATATAATTTGCCCATGTAGAGAAATACTGGTCCTATGTGTTGACCTTTGCCATAACTACAACAACAACAACAAAGCCTTTTCCCACTAAGTGGGGTCGGCTACATGAATCCTAGAACGTCATTGTGCTCGGTTTTGTGTCTGACCTTTGCCATAACTAATTAACTATAATTCAGAAATACTCTTCTGTTAGGATTCTACCATGTAACCGGTCATTCATTTTCTCCTCGTGGAAAAAAAAAAAAAAAAAAAAAAAGAATGAATATCCGGTTACATACTCTTCCATAGAGGAATTTATTGTGTCTGTTGACTTTACCTAATTAACCTATGAACTACTTGATTCAATTATTTGTTTCAAATTCTTATGCTTAATTATTTTTATATGCATCAGAGTCCAGAGGCAAACATCATGCTATTTTAGGCTTTAAAATCTGTTTAATTATCTTATCCGAATCCTTTTTAATATAATATCTTTAAAATGTAGGGGTTTGGTTTCTATATTTCTTTATCTTTTGAAATTTTTTTTTGTATGTAACTTCTTGATCTCCACACATCTCGTAGTTCGTGCAAATAGAAAATTGTTGTGATTCTGTCTGCATAAAAACGTGGGTGATGTTAGTTGGTCAAAATCATGTACTACATTTTTGCGCTTAGCTTCGAATCTCCTTATTTATAAACTAAAGTAGTTTAGAATATCGTCTTATCAAGCGAAGATAGTCGACGCGTTTCTTTTTCCTTTCCAATGATAGATCGTCTCCGTAGACTTGATGGAATTATTTGCAATGAACCGCATGTATGTATGCACATGGCTTGTGTCAATTATTAGGTCATTTTTTTAATGTGGGCGGTTGTCCACTCTCAAAGTCAACTCTCCACAGGTGGCATCTGTGTTTGACTCCTAAATTGAAATAGTTTAGAATATTGTCAGTTGGTTAATTACTTCTTTTTCAAACGTACTTTAGATGTACAGCTTATTAACCGTCGGTTAATTACTCGTTTACTTTGTGATTTAAGATAACATTTTAGGTTTAACATGAACTTAACTTTGTTTTTATGCATTGACAGATTCAGATGGGAATGTACCACTCTGGGAGGCAATACTGAATGGTCATGAGCAAATTGCCAAGCTGCTGTTAGACAATGGTGCAAACTTGAACTCAGGGGATATAGGTGAATTTGCTTGCACTGCTGCTGAGCAAAACAGGTTGGATTTGCTCAAGGAAATTGTCCGACATGGCGGAGATGTCACGCGTCCGAAAAGCAACGGGACCACAGCTCTCCATGTTGCTGTATCCGAAGACAACGTAGACATTGTCAAATACCTTTTGGACCAAGGAGCTGACGTTGACAAACCCGACCTCCATGGCTGGACCCCGAGAGCTCTAGCGGAACAACAAGGACACGAAGACATAAAGAGCCTCTTCCACTCTAGTAAAGAACCCAAAGTTGTCATGACCATTCCCGAGCACAAGAGTGGGATCCGGTTCCTTGGGAGGTTTACAAGTGAGCCAACTATCCACACTCCACCCACAGACAGCTCGTTTTCAAGAGTGGAGGGAGGATCATGGGGAAGGAATCGCCCGAGGCGTAGGACTAATAACTTCCACAACTCACTGTTTGGCATGATGTCAGCTGCCCACACAGGGGAGAAAGACTTGTTTTTCTCCGTTGCAGAGGCGAAAGTTCCTAAGAACTACGTAAGCAACCCTGCTGCTAGGGTGACGATTAGTTGCCCTGAAAAGGGTGAAGTGAAAGGCAAACTTGTGCTGCTGCCACAGACTTACGAGGAGTTGGTTGAGATAGGGGCAAAGAAATTCGGACTCTTGCCAGTGAAAATCGTGAGCATAGATGGAGCTGGAATCGACGATATAGATGTAATTAGAGACGGTGATCATCTTGTTTTTGTAAGTGCTGGTGAATCACAACAAGAACAAGAAGAACCTAACAGCTAAAATCCTCCAATTAATTAAGGAGGATTTGTAGATAAATTGTCTGTAATACCACGGACTAATCCAGATTAACATATGCTGGATTGAGAGACTGTGGATGAAAAATGATGTCCATAGTTAACCTCCTGCTGTCATCTGTTATATTTTCGTGTTTTTTTTTTTTTCTTTCAATATTATGACTTGCACGTCAAGTTACTGTGCAAGTTAAATGTATGTAGCAGCAAAATGTAAATGATTTGCAGCTTGAAAATGTAAAAATTGTAAAATAAAATCAGTCTTATTTCGAGCAACGCGCAGATTATTTTCTCATTGTTGACTAAAAGAAATTAAATTGTAGTACAAGTATATGCAACTATAAATTAGGCTAGTAGGATAGGTCAATATGTCATATATTCAGGAGCACGAGTCGCTCAAGAACCGAGCACACGAGTGTTTTAAGTTTGAGGCTCGGCTTGTTTCCTTCACAAGCAGAGCTTCGATGAGCCAAATACAAACCAAACCTAAAGCAAGTTGGAGTTGTTTCAAACCGATTTGCATCCCTACAACACAACTCAAATTAACAACTCGCAATGTAGTCTACCAAACTCACTCATGAAAATTAGAGCTTCATTCATTCTTCATTTGGTCCAGCCAGATGAGCCGCTTGACCCTCCGTCTGTGCTTCCACATCCGTCTTGTTACCGGTGACACCGCACTCGTATGCCAACAACATCGTTCGTCCTGTCAGTTGCGACGTCATTCCTCCCCGGATACATGAAAGAAAATAAGGGAGTTTTGCTCGAACCTCTCTCACTCAGCAGAAATTAAGGGAGATGACCTGGGGTGGGAATACAACCGGAAAAGCCCGCTTCGCGGGAGATATATAAACACTCAAGAGGACACTAGTCGAAGAATAGCTCAACTGGTACAATCGAGGAGCAAAGCAAATATCACAAGAGTCATGAGAGTACAAAAGTACTGGACAAGTGGTCATCCCCCCCAACATTTGTTGGATCATCTTTCCAAGATTAGGGTTTACAATATTGGTGAATTCTGGGGAAAATGAGACTATTCTTTTCCCTCTACAGCCACAGGATCCTTCAACAAGTTACAAGTGCAAATACACATTGCGGATTTCATATCCTGAAATTTATTTCTCTATCTACAACAACTTCAGCATTTTCAGACGTGCTTCATGTTCGGGATCTAGTTTCGGTGGGGTGTAGCATCCATGAAGATCCTCCACTATATACTCCTGCAAAATTTTGAAACCATAAGCATTCCGGGACTTCTGAATGATGCAAATATCTAGAAGAGTTGAAAATTACGAGATGATACACACTCTCTCTTGGTTTGGCAAATTAATGCAAGTCCATGCCACATCCAAGAAATGATTAAATACAAGCATGAAGACATGCACAGGAGAAGAATGTCGAAGACTAACCTTTGTGAGCTCCCTCTTGGTCAGGATATGGTAATGTCGCTGCCAGATCCGCTGAATGGCCATGGTGGCGGCAAGGAAACCATAAGCTATGCCAAGGATGGCAAAGATGACAACAAAAACGATGACCAGGGCAAAGCAAGCCTCCATCGATGCTGGGAAACAATCCAAAATTCCCCAACCATAGCAACAGTTCTGGCAGCCGGCCATCCGTGGGTCATTGCTATTGAGCGATGAACAGTGTAGTATGAGCCCAAAAAATCCAAGCAGTACAAAAAAGCCTAGGACACCTGGTGTATACAAATGCACAGTGGCAAACACGATTTAAAATACAAAGCAATAGATGTGAACAACTACTACATTTATTTGTCCTCATATTTCCTTCCCATTATAAACAATGGTAAAGTAAGTTTATCGTAATAACAAATGAGACGATAAGATCAGATTTATCCATATCAACATTCCTACTATTATGAGGAAGACAAGGCCAAAGTAGGGAAGGGAGCCTACTTCATAAGCGCAGAGAGAGAGAGTAGAGGGGGGCCGGGGGGGTGGGGGTGGGGGTGGGGTGGTGTGTGGCATACAGATTAGGGAGACATAGCACAAAGATCTATTAATAGAAATTACTTAATGTCTTTGGTGCACATCTTTCATTGAAATTTCATAGAAATGTCCAAAATATTACTTCAAACAGCAAGAAGGGACTTCTATTGCCTTCATTCTGTCAGAAACTCAAAATTCCCTAAGATCTACCACTCTGACACAAACGATAACAAACTTTAATTAGCAACCGTTACTGACTCAATAAGCTAGTCCCACGTTTGTTATTGGAGTGTTCAAGCATTTCCATGATGCAAGCGGGGAAAAACCCTGAACTACATAACATTTTTACATAACAGTTTCAAGATGTAGGAATTTACCAATACAATAATAAAATGGTATAGGATGTTTTGACAAGACACGGTCCCAACCATCACTAAATGAATTCCTGAATGCACCATCTTTGTCCATAACATATGCAAAGCCACCAATAGCAGCAATTATCTGGAAAATAATTAATTAGAGAACTGACAAGTTTTTCATTGCCTTACAAGATGAAACTATATCAAAAGAATTCCAACCGAAACAGAAATGCTTCATTAGCTAAAGAATGAAATTGTATCATGGAACATAATCAAAAGGACAATTGCTTACTGATTGCACTGCTAAAAATACGATGAAAACATCCCTTGCCACAAAAACTCTGAATTTTATCTTACGCCAGGTATTGTCCTCATATGTTTCAACTCGAAGGTGAAATTCCGCTTTGCAGGTTGTGCAGTGTGAGAAAGCAAATCCTTCCTAGAAAAGCAGATGAAAGATGGAGGAGATAACAAGTTCAGTAAATAATTAAGTAATGTGCGGTTCCCGCACAATCTGAGATACAGAATTATTCACCATGATACACAACATCCTCACTCTAATAGAAAAAAGTTATTTACTTTAACAGAGCGCCAGTGATCGAGGCAGGACCTATGAACAAACTGCTGGGTGCCTTTGCACATGCAAGGTGAAATCAATTCATCCCCTGTAAAGTTAAACCAACACAAATCAGACCAACAGCAGCAGCAACATACTCATTTCAACTCTCAATTGAATCAAATTACTGCAACCTATAAACATAGACTTAAACTACAACAAGATACAATCTTTCGAAGTTCCGAACTACGATTGCAATAAATCACAACAATTTAACCCACAAAACATAAAACACTCCTCAGGAATCAGATGGCACTGAAAATCCAACACTGCTTAAACAAAAATTCAAATTAACAAACTTAATTTCATTCATCAAAAACCGATTGACCTGGTTCGGCATCGCTCTCGAGACAAATTCGACAGCTGGGAATAGAGCCAGACTCAAGGTCTTCATTGTTGATCTCACTCGAGCTTGCCGGCGACGAATCGACCTGGTTCGGTAGCAGCGGGTCAATGTCAGTAGGGTCTCGGTCTCGCTCCCTTTCACCTGTTGGCCCCAGCTGCACTTCCCCCTTCATGGATCGGCCGCCCGAAACCCCCAATCCAGCTCCTAATTGCCAACCAGAACAGATCAAAAGCCCTAAAATTTGTCAAAATTCAAGTGCAATTCGAGTTTATGAGTGAGAATCGGTAAATTTTACAGAAATTTATCGGGGATTCCGAAGGAAATTGATGAACAAATTACGGATTGTTTGGGGATTCAATTAATACCTGGATTGTTTTGCGGAGAAATTTCTAGGCAAATTCGTAAAGGGATGATTTTACGATGGCGACACGTGTATAGCTGTGTTGGAAATTCTAAGGTTTTCTATACAACACGCGGTGCGTACTGCGCACGCCGCGATGGCTTGACCCGTTGACTGGGTAATCATTGAGTTAGCTTGGGCCCTGTTTATATGGGCTTCATGGATTTATCAATTGGGCCTTATTGCTGTAGTGTAATGGGCCACTTGACCCAATTCAGTTTCCTATCTCTGAATTTTCCACTACGATGAAATGGTGGAGTAATTGCGCAGAGCACAAGTTTGTTTTACCAAAGAAGCTTTGTTGCTTGGGATACAAGTAAGAGGCTTTATATTCGGTTCAACACGCGAGGTTTTATATTCAATACAACGCTCCTCAAATATTTTAGCAATTGATATATCACTTTGCATTCGAATTTTCATTTGGTTTTAACCCTCTGAGCTTTTATCATACTAATATACTCCTAACCGTCAATTCTATCACAAAGTTTCTCTATTAATTTCATAACTATATTAGTTGAGTCAAACATAGACGTCCCCCCCCCCCTCTCTCCCGGACTCTCGCAAAGCTGGGGGCCTTTGGGGTTGCCTTTTTACTGCTAAATCAATTATGTCTTCTATTGAACAGTGAACTTATGCTTCTTTGCAATCAATTCATCTTGTACATTGTAATGCTTAGCAGGGTAGGCGAACACAAGCATTTCATTAACTTTCGTCGTATGACAAACTAGTACTCGATTCACATGAATGACGATTACGATTTATCGTAACAAACAAAGAAATCGAAAGCGATACGAAATACAGAAAACTGTACACTAAATAGAATGCAGAAAAAAGCCAACAGGCATTCCATGACTTGATGTTCTTCTTCATTACACTAATTCCAAGTTGTACGATTGAATTCGATGAACAAAACCGAAATTCACAGAGATTTTAATAACATGGTAACTAGCTACAAATCTAAAATCCCATAATTTCGATAGATCTTTATTTCTTGCATGTCAGAACTGACCATCTTCTTTCTTTTCTTTCCCCTTGCCTTCACCATCTTCTTGTTTTTCTTTCCCCTTGCCTTTCTCGTCGATCTTTCCTTGTCCCGGCTCCACATTGTCGGCTGCGCTTTCACTCGACGATGAAGAGGGTTTTGACTCGCGGCGGTATGAGGAAGAGCATTGTTCATGTATAAGAAATCGAGCAACGTTGGATCCCCAATCCTCAGCTCCTTAAGCAGTGCCTGTACAAGTTCAGTGTTATCGATCAACGATGGAACGTAATCATCACCATTTGGTATTTCCTCTTGTTTCCATAGATTCGACATTTTCACATAAATTGGAGGAAGTTTTTGCTCGGAATTTGAGATTTTCCCAGAAATTGGTGCTTCGGTCGATGACATTTCCGCAGACGTTGCTTCGCCAGAATCGGTGCTGCCCTCAGAAACTGGGGCTGCATCGCCGGAATCGGATATATTCCCAGAAATGGGTCCTTCAACTTCATTGGAACCGGTCACTGACATTAGGTCTTCATTGGAATCAGTGTTGTCCTCAGAAATTGGCGCTTCTTCGCTGGACCCGGAGGTCTCCTCAGAAGTTGGTGCTGATTCCCCGGAATTGGAGTTGTCCTCAGAAGTTGGTGCTTCTTCGCCGGAATAGGGGATTTCCTCAGAATCTTGTGCTGCTTCGCCGGAATCGAGATTTTCCTCAGAATTTGGTGCTTCTTGTTCGTAGGAATCGGAGTTTTCCCCAGAAACTGGTGCTTCTTGTTCGCCTGAATGAGAGACTTGCCCAGCAATTGGAGCTTCTTGTTCACTGGAATCCAACATTTTCCCACAAAATTTTCTCTCTCAAAACTCGATCAACTGAAATGGTTGATTACGCAATGCAAGAAGCATTAAGCTTACAGGGACTTCTCTGTGTCTTTCACCACCATCTTCGTTTCCTTCTTCGTGTTTTCCGCTTCAAGAACGACGGTGAATCATGGGTTCACTCTCTCAATTCTTGATCTCTCTCTCTCTCTCTCTTATTTCTTGAAAGATTTGATGATTGAATGTGTATGTGGTTTCAGTCAGCACTACTCCGTTGTGAGATATAAGGGAAGGGAGGTGAAGAGTGAAGGGTAAATTGGTAAATATGTGATGAGTCCCGAACTGAAAATTGGCGGGAGAAATAACAGATCATAACAAACTCTAACGGCTCTGCTTTATTTGGTCATGGGCCCCATGTTATTGTGTCTTGATAACTCAAGTATCATCCACTACATAAATAGCGTTAGTCGATTCGTGGCATGGAAATAATTAAAGATAAATCATGGTTAACCTTAATAGTAATTCTGATTAGTAATATTTTACTAGAGTAACTGTCCGCAAAATTAAATTTGAATTGTTAAATTATTGGTGCTTTAATTTATTGAAGTTAAATTGGAAACGCCCTTTTACTGCTTAATCAATTGTCTTCTGTTGAACAGTGAACTATGCTTCTTTGCAATCAATTCATCTTGCACATTGTAATGCTTAGCAGGCTAAGGGAACACAAGCATTTCATTAACTTCCGTCGAAACGATGCGACAAACTGGTACTCGATTCACACGATTGACAATGATGATTTATCGTAACAAAGAAAGCAAATTGGAAGCTTTATGAAATACAGAAAACTGAACACAAAATAGAATGCAAGAAAAAAAAACCAATAGGCAATCCATTACTGGATGTTCTTCTTCATTACACTAATTCCAAGTTCGACGATTGAATTCAACGAATAAAATCAACGAAATTCGCAGAGATTTTAGTAACATGGTAACTAGATAAAAATCTAAAATCTCACAAGTCTCGATAGATTTTTACCGCCAAAATTCGATTCGAATCTGCCTACTCCAATTGATCATCACATAACATCTTCTTTATTCAGAAACGGAGCATGATTGACTGACTGTCTTTATTGTCTTGATGAATATCGATACCTTTATTTCTTGCATATCAGAACTGACCATCTTCTTGCTTTTCTTTCCCCTTACCTTTCTCGTCGATCTTTCCTTTTCCCAGCTTCACATTCTCAGCTGAGCTTTCACTCGACGATGAAGAGGGTTTTGTCGCAGCGACGGTAGGAGGAAGAGCAGGGTTCTCGTGAGAGTAATCGAGCAAAGGTGGATCTCCAATCATCAGCTCCTCAACGAGTTCCTGTACAAATTCAGTGTTATCGATCAACCATGGAACATAATCATCACAATTTGGTATTTCCTCTTGTTTCCATGGATCCGGCATTTTCGGAGAAATTGGTCGATATTCTTGCTCGGAATCGGAGATTTTCCCAGAAATTGGTGCGTCGGTCAATGACATTTCCCCAGATGTTGTTTCCCCGCCGGAAGCGATGTTGTCCCTAGAAATTGGTGTTGCTTCGCCGGAATCAGAGGTATTCCCAGAAATGGTTCTTTCAACTCATTGGAACCGGTCACTGACATTGGGTCTTCATCGGAATTGGTGTTTTCCTCAGAAGTTGGTGCTGCTTCGCTGGGCCCGGACGTTTTCTCAGAAGTTGGTGCTGATTCGCGGGAATCGGCGTTCTCCTCAGAAGTTGGTGCTTCTTCGCCCGATTCGGGGTTTTCCTCAGAATCTTGTGCTGCTTCGCCGGAATCGGGGTTTTCCTCAGAATCTTGTGCTGCTTTGCTGGAATCGAGATTTTCCTCAGAATTTGGTGCTTCTTGTTCACCGGAACCCGACATTTTCCCAGAAAATTTTCTTTCTCAAATCGATCGACTGAAATGGTTGATTACGCAATGCAAGAAGCATTAAGCTCACAAAGACTTCTCTCTGTCTTTCACCAACATCTTCGTCTACTTCTTCGTTCTCTCTCTCTCTCTCTCTCTCTCTCTCTCTCTCTCTCTCTTAATTTCTTGAAAGATATGATGATTGAATGTGTATGTGGTTTCAGTAAGCACTTTTCCGTTGTAAGATATAGGGAGGGAGATGAAGAGTGAAGGGTAAATTGGTAAATATGAAGATGAGTCCCGAACCGAAAATTGGCGGGAGAAATAACAGATCATAACAAACTCTTAACGGCTCGGTTTTATCTTGGTTTCTTTCTTTGCGTCTGATGACGTAGCTCTCTATTTGTTCGGCTAAATATTTTGGGTCTCATTTTATTGCGTCTTGATATTCCAAAGTCTCGATGGTTAGTTCTCCGGCTTTCGATAAAACATTGTAAATGAAATTTAACACGTGTTCTCATGTTTTTTCGAATTACAGGTACGCTTTATCGTCGAGAAGTAAATAGCTTAGAACTACGACCCCTACTTGACCGCTCAATTAAAAAAAAAGTACAGGCGCAGTGAATATCAAGTTTTGTTGAAAATGCTACAACCTATGAAGGTAGATTTTCACACAAAAAGGTCTCGTTACAACTAATAGTCGATCAATCAGTATAAGTTGTAATAATTCGGTAAAGTATTTGATCTGGAACTTTATATTTTCAACAGACTTACGAGAGTAACCTATCGAGGTCTTAGTCTTATATTTGATTCAACCCTCCTTTAATAGCTCGCATCAAAAAGGAAATACTGTATAAAAGAAGGGTGCAAAGATCTTAACTCACAAGCAATCCTAGCTATGAACACATTGAACAGGGAATTGAAGGGCTCCTTTGAGTTTAGTAATGCCCCTAAAACTCAAAACAGTTGGGAGAAAAGTTTTAATAATGCCCTTTGAACTTTGGACTTTATAATACTTTGTCTTCCGAACTTTCAATTAATTTTGAGCTCCTGGATTTTAAATTTATGCCAATATGCTCTCAACTGTCAATTCGATCATAATTTTTTGCTATTTCCGTCATTTTCATTGCACGTGGCCAAATTTTGAGAGGTGTATGCGATGCGTCAACGAAATGATACAATCACAAAGAAACTTGGTAAATGCTTGGAATTCTTATCGTAATATATTCATTTCCAATACATTTTGGGGATGTGCAACCAATCCATCGCTGCACATTGTAATGCTTAGCAGGGTGGGGTAACACAAGCATTTCATAACCTTCAGCCGAAATGATAGGAGGAACCAGTACTCGATTCACATGAATGACGATGACGATTTAATCATAACAAAC